AAGAAATAGGATAAGAAGAGTTAGCGGAGACAAAATCAAATAAGTGAAATGGAAGAATAGTGTTTTTTTTCAAAATTAGAACAGGGATTATCAGCTATTAGGCTAATGAGAATTGCTCACATTCTGTCTACGAACTTCTTCAGGCTGAGCGTTCATTTTATGGATAATTCACAGCAAAATATGTTGCAACGAGCAGATCCTTCTCTTAACTTCATTTTTAGAGAAGCTTACGCTCCTTAATATTCATAGATCAAATAAGAGCGCCGGCACAGAAAACAGCCACACCCTTTAAACAGCATAGGTGGAGAGGTGGTGGAGCGAGAAAACGGCAGAAATTACGTACGCCGGCTGTCATGGTTTCGGCCAATGTTTCAACGAGGTGCGACCAAAAACCGCTGAGAACTGAGAACGTCATATCCGGGCATTAGGATGTGCAATCCCGGTCATTTGGGCTCATAAGGTATGAAGAGGCAAGAGAGGGAGGGGTATTGCTTTCGTTTCGCCAATATCAGGAGAAAGCGATGCTAGTGAAGGGGGAAAGGAGGGGGTAGTTAATCTTTATCAATCGCTTGGAGCTACTGGGATAGTTTTCGGGGGGTAAATGTACGACCATGAAATGCAGGGAAGACAAATGACTGGGGAAGAAAGTGAAGGACTTGATAAAAAGATAGAAGAGAAGGGTATTTTGGAGTCTACTCATTGGTGAAAAATAATGAAAAAAAATGGTTGTTGTTAGAAACCGAATGTCAAGCGGTTATGAATAACAGCATATGTTGCATGACATGATGTTCCCAATGAACGTGGGAGCTCTAACCCCAACGGACAAATGCAGATTCTCTCAGCATCTCAATATCGCGGTTCCCCTCCGCTCCCGGACGAACAAATCAATCTCGACTCCGCCCAGTTGAATTCGTTCAGTGACCGTGATTCAAAGACTATAAACGACCTTCAACGCATTCCGCAATCATTCCCCATCAAAGGGAATCGGCTCTTCGAATATTCGTCATAGCGGAGCGCTTACGGGGCTTATCTTATTCGAATGACGTCATTTGGATTAGAATGTTGGTTTTTGAGTGAACTTGACACACGAAAAGCGATTATTGTCCTCGTATAATGGTACCATTGAAAAATTACTAGAAAATAAAGAAATTCAAGGAATTTCTTCGATATATTTGCCTTCTAAAACAAAAATCATAGCATGCTTGACTGATTATTTTCATTAATTGTATACTTGTGAAATAACACGAATAGTACAGTAGACTGAATGTATTTAAAAATAAAGTTTTTCATACTTATATCAAATCACGGAAGCTCATGCTCTACATATGTGTCAAATCGAGAGAGTAGCAAGTGAATCAGAGTAATCCAATGTAACCATGATAAGAAAAATTTTGGACCATCTATCCCATTTTTTCCAACTAAACCACAAGGCATGATGCTCACTGACAATTTCGATGCGCTTGTCAGTCTGAATTAGTACCTTTTTTTTCATTCTGATTGTCCACTTCCTTTGTTCATCTGTCATTTTCACGAATGTCATTGTTCAGGTATTCCTTGAAGTCCCAGTGGAGTGCACTTGTTAAGGAGATCTTACTTGTACATTTTTCTTCTTCTCAAATTAGCAACCATTATGTAGCAGTCATATTGGGAAAAAAACGTCGAAGTTATAAAGATGTTTGAATGAGACGAGTTCGTAGTTCAAAAAATTTCATTAATTACGAAAAAACAGGAAATGCGATTAAAATGATTACGCATTAGGAAAGATGCTGTC